AGGCGGTTTAGGGTTTAGGGCCTAGTCTTTCAAGTGCTAAACTTGAAAACTAAACAATTGTTAAATTGTTTCAGGCAGTCTTACTCTTACAACACAATTGTTTGCAAAATCAAACTATTACAAAACAATGCTTACACAATTCTTTGCAAAATCAAACTATTGCAAAACAATTGTCAAACATTTGTTCAACAATTATTTCCAAAATCGAACTATTACAAAACAATTGTCAAACAATTGTTGAGCAATTGTTTGTAAGATGAAACTATTACAAAACAATTGTCAAACAAATGTTAAACAGTTGTTTGTAAAATGAAACTATTACAAAACAATTGTCAAACAATTGTTAAACAATTGCTTGCGAAATCAAACTATTATCAAACAATTGTTTGTGCTGGTATCTTTAATATGAGCTTACTCATTTCTATATTTAAAACTATTGCACGGTTTTTGGGGGCCCCCGAGAATATGCCCTCTGTAGGAGGCTTCTTGAAAACATTCAAGTCTGAACTCCTTAAAGGGGGGGGGGTTATAGGGGGTTATATAGGAGAGTATTATGGAGCTTATTAAGGGGGATACTAGGAGTTTAGACTGTAGCACATGTGTGAACAGAATTCTTGAGATACGAAGTTCCGTTGGCACCTTGGGTTCCGCAGATTTAGGCGATTGCTTGCCGATGCTTAGGGTTTAGGGTTTAGGCTTAGGCCTCGTTGAAGACCTCAGGTGTTGATGATGGTCTGAGCATCAATCACGAGTCATTAGGATCGAGCCCGCACAGAAACCCCTAATCCCATTACCCTACATACCCCCCATATAGTGGTCATACACCCTCTACATACGTAGGTGGTTCCGCTATGGGTCCCCGTAATAAGGTCCCCATTCAAGCTCCTTCCTAATCTCAAGTGCTTGGAGAGGAGTGCTTGGAGGGGCTTTCATACAAATTTTTACTTGAGAACAGATAACTTACTCTCTTATCACATACTGCCCATCGATACGCTGACAACGGGGACTATTCAATGCGGGATTCTCACAGAAGAGATGGGCCAAGATCCGACAACCGAAGATGCGGTCTTGTTGAACTCCGCGCGGTTTAGGGTTTATAGTCCCCCTTAAGTAGATAGAATATGGCTTTGGTTAGATTATGACAAGATCCCAATATACCCCATACTCTATCTACTTAAGGGGGACTATAGGTGACTATAGGGTTTAGGGAGAGGCTTATTTGCATATACTGTCCCCCTTGTGGACATGGAGGCCCAAACATGTTTCAGGGCGCAATCGTTTTTGTAGGGCCAGTTTCGGGCTTCAGGGTTCAGGGTTTACGCGCTCCACTGCGGGCTTCTCTAATGAAATTGCTTTCAGGACCTTCCTTACCTCCGGACCATGGCGTGAGAAGACTACTAGGGGGTGGAGAAAATGCCGACTTTGCTAATCTAGATTTCGTGTGTGCGCATGGTATAGGGCTACTTCAAATAGACCTCAGAATCATGTTGGTAATTCTGCAGGCCCTGCATTGCGTGGAAAAGAGGGTTCCCACACGCTGCCTGCTGAGTTGCAGGAAAGAGCAATACCTTGAATGTGGTCAGCCTGGCACATTTCTTTGCCGTTGGCTAACATTCGCCACTTTCTCAACAGCCCTACCCTAACACTCCTAGGACTATTTGAGGCTTTCTGGGGGAGGGTTTGGGCTTTGGGGGCTAATGTTCACGATCCCATTACGAGGGTCCAAGAGCCTTTGGGTAATCCTAAACCCTAAAACACAAAGATCCTTAGCTGGCGCTTGTGGCCGCAAATGAAGGGGGACGGCTACTTCTGGCTTGAACCGCACTTGTATGGGAGGAGCTTCAGGGGGTTGAGAGTTTAGGGTTCAGGGTTTAGGGTTTAGGGTTTAGGGTTTACGGTTTTGGGGTTAGGGTTTATAGGGTTTAGGGTCAGGGTGCAGTTTAGGTTGTAGGGTTAGGGTCTAGGCGTAGGCTAGGGTTTATCCGGTACCGAAATTTAAAATACCCGAAACCCTAAACCTTACTTACATTGGGTCACTTGGAGCCTTACCCAAAGGCTCTTGGACCCTCATAATGGGATCCTGAACATTAGCCCCCAAAGCCCAAACCTTCCCCCAGAAAGCCTCAAATAGTCCTAGGAGTGTTAGGGTAGGGCAACCCAGGGCTCCCAGTTGCATAGAGACAGGCCCCAGCAAGGCCTATCGAAACAGATGTGGGGGATTGTCAAAATTATGGTCCCTTTTTGGGTCCCCTAAATTAGGCCCCGTATTCGGCCCCGTATTAGAATAGGGACCCAAAAAGGGACTATATTTTTGACAACCACCCATGTAGGGTCTTAGGCTTGGCTGTTACGGTGTGTGGGGCTTGAGTTTGGGTGTTTTGGGATGTAGGGTTTAGGGTTTAGGCATGCAGGGTTTAGGGTTTAGGAATGCAGGGTTTCAGGTTGAGGGATGTAGGGTTTAGGGTTTAGGGATGCAGGGTTTTAGGTTTAGAGATGTAGGGTTTAGGGTTTAGGGCTGCAGAGTCTAGGGTTTGGGAATGTAGGGTTTAGGTTTAGGGATGCAGGGTTTAGGGTTTAGGGATGCAGGGTTGGGGATGTAGGGTTTAGGGTTTAAGGTTTAGGGGTTTAGGAGGCTTTAGCGAGAGGACTTTGAACCCTCAACGCACGGACGCCACAATCTACACCTGGCCCTATAGGGCTCATGCAGGAGTTGAGGGGTTTGTAGTCTTGGGTAACTTCTACACTCAAAGGCCCTAACATGTGAATGAGGCATTAAAACGCCTACATGAAAACTGCACATGTGCGCCAAGTATATGTCCCCAAAGCACCCTGCCAGAGTTATGACTGGGCCTTTTTCTATAGACTTTGGCCCATTGTAGGCATGATGTATAGGCTTGGAGCCCCACGTAGGGTTATACTTGCATGTCTTCCCTGCGCTTCGTGCGAAGTTTACGCTGGAGACACTTCTCAAAAATATGTAGAGCCCCGATCTCTCTCTCTCTCTTCCTCCCTCTGCAGTACTGATACAGATTCAAGTGTGTGGCTCAGGCTGGATTCTGCTGAGTTCTCCTCCTATACCGAAGCCATCTCTGCGTGCGATGTTGCGAGTCTTCAAAGTCTCTGGCGAAATTGCCCTGGCAATTCCATTTGAAGAGTTCTTGCAGATCGCGTGTTGGAACAATGAGTCGGCCACCGTGCTGGATGTCAAACGCCACTTGCAGCGTAGCATGGGACAGCCACGCTTCAGACAATGCCTGGTGCTTCCAGATGGCCGGATTCTGTCGGATCATGATGTACTTGGAGGGCCAACAGATGTCCAGCTGGCCTTGCTTCAGTTCGAAGCTCGGATGATCAAATTCGCCACCTCCAGCAGACTGCACAAGTGAACGACATTGCAGCAATGGAACGCCTTTTGCAACGACCGCAGGATCCAGATTTGCAACTTGATGGCTCGTCGGCTCTGCACAAGGCATGTCGCAGCGGCTGTCTTCAAGCCTCAAGGCTGCTGTTGGAGGCTAACGCTGGCATAGATAAGGCCATGAACACGGCTCATGATGGTCCTACTCCCTTGTACATTGCTGCACAGAGGGGCCATCTTGACATCATTCAGTTGCTCCTCGAGGCCAATGCTGACAAGGATAAGGCCAACAGCGATGATGCGACTCCGTTGTACGTTGCCTCGCAGAATGGCCATCTGGAAATCGTGTGGTGGCTGCTCGGGGCCAATGCTGACAAGGATAAGGCCTACAACGATGGTACGACTCCATTGTGCATTGCCTCGCAGAATGGTCGTCTGGAAATCGTGTGGTTGCTGCTCGATGCCAACGCTGACAAAGACAAGGCCAATAACGACGGTACCACTGCATTGCGCATTGCCTCGCAGAATGGCCATCTAGAAATCGTGCGGATGCTGCTCGAGGCCAATGCTGACAAAGATAAGGCCACCAACGATGGTATGACTCCGTTGTACGTTGCCTCGCAGAATGGCCATCTGGAAATCGTGCGGATGCTGCTCGAGGCCAATGCTGACAAGGATAAGGCCTACAACGATGGTACGACTCCAATCGTGCGGATGCTGCTTCATGCCAATGCTGACGCGGATAAAACTAAGAAGGATGGAACGAATCCATTGAGCATTGCCTTGCAGCAGTATTGGGATTTGGACATTCTAAAGCTTCTGGTCGAGGCCAATAATGAGGCCAAACCGGCTGTTCCAACTTGGTTATACGTCGCCACGGCGAATGGCAATCCGACAGACGTGTTGTGGCTGCTCAGGGCCAAGGCTGACAAGAATCTGGGGTGCTGTTAAGGAACTTATAGTCCCCCTCAAGTAGATAGAATATGGGGTATATGGGATCTTATTATAGTATACCCGGAGCCATATTTTATCTACTTAAGGTGGGCTATAACTTATGTTGCTGTAATATGGGTTATTTTTCAAAATTGTGGGACCCTTTTGGTTATAGATTATATTACGGCACGTAATATGTAGGGGTACCAAAAAGTGACCGTAATTTTGGGCACCCCCCCTATGGGGATATGGAACGGATGGGGGTTCCTTCATGAAAATAGGCCGAAAAAATCCTTGACAGCAACCCAGGAATAAGGCCAACAATGCCGGCGTAACTCCATGACACATCGCCTCGCAGAGTGGCCATCTGGAAATAGTGGAGTTGCTGCTCAATTTCAAGGCCAATGCTGACGAGGACAAGGCCAAGAACGATGGTAAGACTCCACTCTATATCGCCGTGCAAACTGGCCATGTTGACATCGTTCAGTTGCTGCTCAAGGCAAATGTTGACGCAGAAAAGCCTATGGGCGATGGTACGACTCCATTGTACGTTGCCTCGCAGAATGGCAATCTGAAATTCGTGCGGTTGCTTCTTAAGGCCAATGCTGACAAGGATAAGACTAAGAAGGATGGTACGAGTCCATTGCATATCGCTTTGCAGAATGGCCGCTTTAACATCGTTGAGTTGCTGCTCACGGCGAATGCCGTCACGGATAAGCGTACGGACGTGGCACGACTCCACTGCACATCGCCTCACAGAATGGCCATCTGAAAATCGTGCGGTTGCTGCTCAAGGCCAATGCTGATGCGGATAGACATATGGACGATGGCACGACTCCATTGTTTCTTGCCTCGCAGACTGGCCGTCTGGAAATCGTGCGCTTGCTGCTCAAAGCCAATGCTGACAAGGATAAGACTAAGACTGATGGTACGAATCCGCTGCATCCCGCCATGGAAAAAGGCCATCTGGGCATCATGCAGCTGCTGCTCGAGGCCAATGATAAGGCCAAGAATGCTGTCGCAACTTCATTCAAATCGCCTCGGAGAACGGCTGTGCAAAAGTTTGGTGGTTGCCGCTCGCACGCAGAGCATCCCAGCTCTTGAGCCTCAAGAATCCAAATCTCCAAACAGGTTGAACCCTCAATCCTCACTCCCTACAATCTACCCTTAACCCTAAACGCCCTAAACCCTCAGCCCTAAGACCCTAGACTTTACATCCAGTTTTCTACATGTTAACATGCAGGCCTGGAGGGCTCTTACACCTAAAGCTGCCATGTCAAAGCAGTTTAGGGTTTAGGGTTTAGGGTTTAGGGCTAATAATATGTAGGTAGAGAAGCTTAGGGTTTAGGGTGCAGCGGTTTGGGTTCAGGGTATGCTTGGGAACGGCTACTTTCTGTTGATATTAGAATTCTGCACCGCCAGTATGGTAGACCTTGTCCCTAAGGGTCCAAGTACCTAATAATCATCTACTTGCCCAAAACCTGTACTATAATTTCTATTACCCAAAACCCAAGTACCTAAATATTGGGTACTTGGACCGTGTGGGTATACCTTATACCCTAAGCCCCCCGCCTCCTCCGGGATGGGGGTGTCATGACAGGCTACTCGCTGAGGCTTTAGGTTTGTCTGGGGTGAGGTTTAGGGTTTGGGGTTTGGTTGATTCTAGTGAAATGCCTGTAGCAAGCCACAACGAGTACTTTTATGCTAAATCCTAAACCCCAGGGTTCCCCTTCAATTAGCCTTAGGTAGCCCTAGATTTCCATATATGACCCCCAAATCCCGTCGGCCATACACCCAAAGCCCCAAATCGGGACCCCAAACCCTTACCCTAAACCCCATACCCTAAAACCTAAATCCTAAACCCTGAGCACTGGGTCTGAGGATCCTTTTGGGGGTGGTTGACTAGGACCTGAAAAGCCCTAAGCCCCAAACTTCCAGAAAGAAGCGGTGCCAGGCGTCTGGAACCTTCAGCGCCCACGCCACCCGCCTCCGGCGAGAACAGGAGTGGCAGAGGCCAGGAGAGGGGGAAGGTTTTAGAACTTAGGATAAGGTTTAGGGCTTGGGATTTAGGGTTTAGGGTTTAGGGTTTCAGGGTGTGAGAGTCAAGGGTTGAGGGTTTTAGGGTTCAGGATTTGGGGTTTAGGGTTTGGGATTTAGGGCTTAGGGTTTCAGGGTGTGAGGGTTTAAGGTTTAGGGTTCCAGGGTTCAGGGTTTAGGGCTTAGGGTTTGGGATTTAATTAGGGTTTAGGGTTCAGGTTGATGGTTTAGGGCACCCAAAACCCTAAACCCGAAACGAAGGTGCTTAGGGATTTACATGGTGCTTGTAGGGAATGACCAGGGCAAGATATGTCAGCATGAACCGCCTTAGTCTTGACCTTGGGCTTACATGGGAACTCGATATGAAGCATGCTTTGGTTTATTTAGGTTATAGGGTTTAGAGTTTAGGGTTTAGGAATGGTAGCTGAGGGGGCATTCACCTCCCAATGAATTCATTCCAGCTTTCTGTTGCTAAGGTCTGATGGTGAGGCAGGTGGGTTGCTCAAAATGAGCTGCAGTCTAAACTCCTTAACAGGGATTTTATATGGGATTATGTAGGGGAGCATTATCGGGGTTATTAAAGGGGTTACTAGGACATATGTGAAGAAGGCGGTTTCGTGAGACATTGAAGTCTGCATGGGCTACAGTCCCCCTTAAGTAGATAGAATATGGGGTATATGGGGATTTTTTTATAGTTTACCCAAAGCCTTATTCTATCTACTTAAGGGGGACTACACTCTCAACACTCCGTCAGGGGGGTCTTGAGGACCCCCGGCACCCACAGGGAACAATAACAGTCTGCAAAAGGACGGCTGTCCCTGATGAATTAAGAGGGAGTCCTTGGGGTGGGTTTGGAGTGCTGGATCACACGGCGACACAGGCTTAACTCCAGATCCTGAATCCTGGACCCAGCCCAAAAACTTAATCCTCATGTGGGGCTTCCCTATAATCAGGATTCTAGTGCATTGTGGTCTACACTCTTGACCCTAACTGCTGTTTTTGGAAACCCTTATGTGGGAGCAGATGGGATTCCTCTGGGCCACTCGGTCTGGATACCCTAAACCCTAAACCCTATACCCCAGAGCTTCAAAGTGGGTCAAAAATAGTCAAAAATGGCCTAGAGCCCCCGAAACAGTCGAACAGGCAATTAATCTACATACTTGGCAAGTTAATTTTGACGCATTCCATTTGTGACATACTTCGGGGTTTCAGTCTGATGAATAACCAGGCAGTGGCTTCTTAAAGGAAACTCGGATCTCGAAACGCTACGAGTGAGAACCGTCACTATTCCTCAAAGCCCCTTTAAAGTTCAGGATTGTGGGGTTTTGGGTTGCAAGCGCCCAAAGCCACACACCCCTGGAACAGCTCACTTCCAAAATGAAGGTGCAAGACTCGAATTGCAATTGTCGCCGTGTTTGTCCTACTGGCAGGACGCTCAGCTCAGGACGCAGTTGCGTGGTAAGTATGTTACAATCATATGAGGTGTAGTCTAAACTCCTTATAAATTAAAGGAGGTTATAAGGGGGAGTTCTATAAGGGTATTAAGGGGATACTGGGAGTTTAAGACTATAGCTCATATACATATATATATATACATAGAGGCCATCTATAAACTCTTGCAGGCTGGTATTGGGTGAGGGGCAGTATGGTAAATCCTACACCTCATTCTGTACAGACCGCAGCACCCAACATATATCTAACGCTTTGAACAGCCTCTTCTAATGGACCCCTTGATTGTGCGGCAGGGAGCCATTCGAGATACCCTAAGTTCATCTAAGACCCATGTGAGCTATAGTCTAAGCTCCTCGAAAGGGGGTTTATATAGGGGACTATTCCAGAATTCTTAAGGGGGATACTAGGAGTTCAGACTACAGCTCATGTTAGTTTGGGGGAGGGAAAGGCTCAACAGTGAGCTCCCACCCGAGCCGAGACCCCAAAACCTCACCGGTTTGAAATCGTAATTGGGGTTAGAGTTTAGGTTTAAGGGTTTAGGGTTTAGGGTTTAGGGTGGTTTAAGGGTTTAGAGTCAAGGCATTCACCCAAAACTCTGCGCGCAACCGTAGACTGGCTGTACATCTTGTTACTGGGGATAGTAGCCCCTATTCGGCCCTGTGCCTATACAATCCCCAAAACTGCAGTAGCGTTTAGGGTTTAGGGTTTCGAGTAGTTTCCATTTTCTTTTCCATTCCCGAAACCCCAAATTCTTAAGCAATACAAATAGGGACAGTAGTTGCCATGTTCTTTTCCGTACGCCCCCTGCTAACCAGAGGTAAGTTTCCTCTACATGCCCCCTAGCTTGCACGAAATTTGCCATGAGCTTTTCAATTTGACTCTCCACTCTTAGGGTACAATCCCTAAACCCTAGAACTTAAAACCAAACGCTCAGCCCTCAATGAACATATATACTTTTCCACTCCTTCATTCCTCACAACCAGGAAGCAGACCCTAAGCCCAAAATTAAACCTTAGGATTTTGGGTTTGGGGTTTAGGGTTGGGTTGCTGTGAAGGAAATTAGATTGAGTTGCTACATTATGGGCATGTAGTTAAGAATTAATTGGGTTTCCTTGGTATAGTAACTTCATTTGAGTTCATTAACGGCAAACCCAAACCTTAACCCCCAAACCCTAAACTCTAAACCCTAACCCTAAACCCTCAACCCTGAACCCTAAAACTTAAACCCTAAGCCCCAGCCTAGACACCCGAGGTATGGCTCTTGATCTTCTTCTTTGCTTCCGGCCACCGAATGACCTTCCTGGGTATCAGAGCTGCCCTCAGATCAGAGGTTTAGGTGTGCAGGGGTTTAGGGCTGAAGTTTAGGGGTTTAGGTTTAAGGGTCTTGGGGTCTAGGGTTGAAGTTTAGGGTGTTAGGGTTAAGGGGTTGGGGGGTTTAGGGTTTAAGTTTAGGGCTCAACAGGTGAGGTGGAGGAAGATGGGAACGTATAGGAAATGAGCCTTTGCACAAAAGAGTCTCCAGTAACATGCCTTCATGCCCACCAGGTTTAGGGTTTGAAGTCCCTAAACCCTAAACCCTTGCACATAAGAGTCTACAGTAGGGATCCTTTAGTTCACCTACCAGGGTTTAGGGTTTTAGGGTGTGAAAACGCCTTGCTTTTCCTTCATGAGCCTGCTGATCTGCCTCTGAAACCCTAGACCATTTCTATGGTTTTCATGTGAACCATAGTCTGAACTCCTTAAAGGGGTTCTATAGGGGACTATATAGGGGACTACTATAGGGGTTATCCAGGGGGATACTAGGAGTTTATGCAACGGCTCATGTGAGAGAGAGAGAGAGAGAGCTTGCATCTATTTGATCAGGTTTTCGCAGGAGGGTGTCAAATCGCGGCTTTTTTTTGAAAGGTTACTGTAGCTTCATGCAACAAAAGGTAGAGGTAAAGGGAAAGGCTTCGAATGGTTTTTCTGCTTGCGCCCCTGACGGGCCCCTCTGTGTGTTGGGGTATAATAGGGGGAACCTGATTTGTAGAAACTACTAAACCCTAAACCCTAAGACCCCGCCCCTGCAAGACTGAGAAAAAAGTCACAATTTCCCAGGTGCAGGCATACTTGCCATCACCTTGCCGCTTGGGTGGTGTTGCGTGAGGCCCTCTCAGGGTTTAGGGTTGGGTTTCGGTGCGTGGCTGTTTGGGAGGTTTTGCATGTTGAGTTTCGTAGCTCAGGGTATGATTTGGCCGGAGCCTTCCCAATTCATTGCCCTAGTACTTCTTAAGGACTTGTACCTACGAAGCACCTAAGTGCTTACTAGTAAGGACCCTAGGAACCTAGAGGTAACTTTTGGAGCTTCATCGGGTCCTGGAGGTTTGGATTTGACGTTTTGAATCGTGGCTTCTCACATCCAGCCAGTTGGCGGCTACAGTAGCCAGAGCACAGGGCGATGCCTTAAGCAGCAGCCTGCACGGCTGCAATTATCACATTTACTGGGTTTAGGGTTTAGGGTGGGCTTGCAAGGAGCAGCGGTGTTCAGCCAATGCCTACCTAAGAAAAACCAAACCAAGCCCCTCTACAATCAAGGTCGAGCCATGAAGGTGGACAACCCCAATGAACTAAGTTCTAAACCATAGGGGGTAATGTAGCAATATAGGGGGAATATAGGGGTTATAATGGAAAAGAAAATGGAAACTACCATCCTACAGGCTCTACCTGTAGTCCCCCTTGAGTAGATAGACTGTGGGGTATATGGGGGGTCTTAGTATTGTATTCCCAAAGCCATATTCTATCTGGTTAAGGGGGACTATACCGGCACTGACTGCGCACTAGTTCGTCATCAAAACTGGTGGGCATTACAAATCGATGCTGCCGTTCGGCTCGCATATTATAGCCATTTCATGTTGCACACTCACGCGCTTAGATCCTGACTGGACGCTGGCGTCAGCGCTACTCTCACAGGCCTCAAGGACAAGCTTGGAAAGATTTACGTTGGAGCGGTTGCAAACACTGCAGCGTGCAGACTCTCCACACTGAAAAAAGGCTTGAGAAGCGGATTATAGTCCCCCTTAATAGTAGATAGAATATAGCTTTGGGTATATTATAATAAGATCCCCATATAGCCCATATTCTATCTACTTAAGGGGGACTATCCCCTGAAAACCGGAGACCGGTTGTGTAGGATGCGTTTGTCCACGCGATGCCTATCGCGTCAATGCGTGCAGGCATCGAGCTCCCGCTGCTCCGAAGCAAGCCACGTGACACCCTAAACCCTAAAACCTAAACCCTGTAAACCCTATAAGCCCAAAACCCTAGTTTAGGGTTTAGAGGTGTAGGGTTCAGGCCCTAAACCCTATAAACCCTAAACCACGTACACCACCCACTAGAGCCTCCCTACCACTTTTTACAACGCGATGCCTCTTGAAATCAGAACTGAGGATGCACAGGGGGCCTGCTTGCCACAAAGTCCCAGCCTCGTGCTGGGGCCGTATAGTCCAAACTCCTTAAAGGGGCTTCTATAAGGGAGTTTTATGGAGGATTACTATACGGGCTGTTAAGGGGGATGCTAGGAGTTTCGACGATGGCTCATATAGTCCAGCTCAGAGCTAGGACGCCATTCTTGCACTTAACATTCCTTTTCGGACGGGGGCTTTAGGGTTTGGGTTTCAGGGTTTAGGGTTTGGGGTTTGGGGTTTAGGGTTGCGGGAGTTTGGGAGCTCTTTGGGTAGGAATGCGGAGTCGACTGTTTGACCCGTAGCGGATATTTGTTTGAACCCTAGCCCCAAGGAACCTTTATGAAGTTGGGAATCTGTGCTAGGGCTTTGTAGGCCCGTATCCCCTAAACCCTAGACCCTAAACCATCATAAAGTAGGGAAGGTATGCCTTTGTTGGGGTCTTGTAGGAAGTGACCTCTTGGAAGGATAGTACGTGTGCACTTGAGCACATGAATGCAGTAGTTCCCATGGTCATTGCTGAAACGACCACTTCTGGGGGTAGAAGGGAAAAACACCACCATCTCAACGTCCGAGGCTGACGCTGCCTGAACCCTAAAGCCTTAAAACTTCTGCAAAAAATCAAACACTGAACCCCAAATCCTAATCCCTACAACCTAAGCCCTAAAACCCTAGACCTTAAACCCTAAACTCCCTAAACCTCTAGGAGCATTTAGCTTGATTCTTTCTGCAGGCGCTGGCGGAACCTCGAAGAGGAGGCATGGGAGGGAACCCTTACATCTCAAATGAATACCTAAACCCTAAACCCTAAACCCTAATCCATCACTTCCTTGGTCCGTTTTAGGCGACTCGGCGCTTTGAGCCTTGTAGTGCTTTCAACGGTGCCAAGCCAGGCCTGTAGGGCCGAGATGCTCAGGGTTATATGAGCTGTAGTCTACACTCCTTAATGGGGCTTATATAGGGGGTTTTTATAAGGGAGTATCATACACTCCCCCAAACTAACATGGAAACCCAAATAGCCCTCTTTTAAAAGGACAGTAGTCCTTATAGGCACCCTTTTGGGTTTCCATGTTAGTTCCCGGGAGTGTAGGGGTTCTTAAGGGGAGATACTGGGAAATATGTACCAGCGTTCCAGGATGACCGCGGCCGCGGATCGGGTAGCCCTGGAGGAAGGCTTTGAGCCCAAGGCCAAAGGCAGGCCCGGCCTAGCAAGGCGGAAGCTTCAGTTTTAGGGATTATACAGGGATTACATAGGGGTTAGGAATTATATTGGGGTTATATAGGGGTGGTATAGGGGATTATGTGCCAAAGGCGCCGCTGAGCCAGAGGGTGTGGGACTGGATCGAGCAGCGAAGAGCCCAAGTGTACGAGCGTGTGCCCGGCGGCACGACTACCACTGTCCCAGCCAGCACTGGCAGAAATTTCAAGTGGCTGTGGCCACCGACACGGTTGCGGACCTGGAGTGCCACATCTGCACGGATATCATGGCTGGCCACCACAAGCCCGAGTAGGTTTCAGGGACCTCAGGGTTTACAGCTTGGTGGATTTAGGCTTTAGGGTTCAGGGCTTTATGGGTTTAGGATTTAGGGTTCAGGGTTTATGGGTTTAGAGTTTATGGGGTTTAGGGTTTAGGGTGTAGGGCCCTCAGTGAGAAACAGGGATTGCACCGGGATTATGGGGGATATCTCCCGCAGACTATAATGAGACCATTTGGAGGAACCTTCACTTTGCAGGTTTCCAATTCATCCAGCCCAAATCTAGTTCAACCAGGACTGCTTCACAGGATAGGGTTTAGGGTTTAGGGTGTAGGGTTTAGGATGGTTTAGGGTTTCCTCACTCAGGGCTCCCAGTTTTGAGACATTGCAATGCAGACAGCTTGCATGAGGGGATTCCTGCATATCATGCACAAGAAATGGTAGGTCATGTTGGTACGGTATTCTACCATACTACGCTTTACACTATGTTAGAGCTACCGTCAACAAATTTAGCCTCACAAAGGGGCCGTTTGCGGTGGACGTCGGGGTGTCGCTTGTAGTTTAGCATAGTCCCTAATAATATAATCCCGAATTAGGAACCCATGTGAAATAGAGTTATGTAAGAAATAGTGAGTGTAGCTCATAATGCCAAAGAAGAGAGTCGCTAAACTCTAAACCCTACACCCTCAGTCTTGACCGCCCCATCAAGACCACCAGCAGATCTCGAAGCTTGCGCCCTAAGTTGCCCAAGCCCAACAAAGCACTAAGGGAATAGGGTTTAGGGTTTAGGGTTTAGAGTGTAGGGTTTAGGGTTTTTTGGCTTAGGCCCTATAGATTGCGTTATGAATCCAGACGGTAGGGTGGTCCTATATGCCACGGTTACGCTGTACCATGCTATAGTCCATTTTGTTTTCCTATACCCGTAAACTTTTCCAACAAGCTGTACGATATTCTGCCAGGCATGTTTGGGTGCCCGCTTTTTCCATGGTCCCAAAGCCACGAACATCGAAGCCTTATAAGCCCTTAACCCGTAAGCTCGAAACTCAAAGTGCCGAACCCCTAAACCCTAAGCCGAGAACCTCCAACCACTAAACGTTAAAACCTTGAATCGTAAAACCCCGAAAGCCCCGAACCCTAAATCCTATGACCCCTATAACCCCTAAACCGCTACTTTCCCCCTTAAGTAGATCGATTACGGCTTTGGGTACAGAATAATAAGATCCCCATATACCCAATATTCTATCTACTTGAAGGGGACTATAAATCCCCTAAAGCCCCATAAGCCCCCATGCTTGGAGACCCAAATGCCAGCCCCACTTCAGTATCAGCCTAAACCCTCTTAGCCTTGCTCCCAGAAAAAGCACACGCTAGGGCTCAGGGTTTAGGATGTATTAATTAAGGGCTTAGGTTTTGGGGTTAGGGTGCAGGACTTGGGGCTTAGGTTTTTTAGGATCTGGGCCTTGGGCCTAGGGCTTGGGGTTTAGGATTGAGGGTTTGGGTGTAGACCTCAATATTTGAGGCCTGGGCTTAGGGCTTAGTGTGTAGGATTCCGTCCATCAGTGCATTTGCCAGGAAGGCTTTCGTGATGTGGCCGCAACCTCATCTACCTGGCAGGAATATAAATTCAGTAAGGCTTCCAAAAAGTAGGGCTGCCTCTGTAGGGAGGTCTGTCTACTAAGGCATATGCACGTTCATAAGTACAGGGGCGCACGCGCAGATTGCAGATTGTTGTTCGTCGCAATAGACACTTTCACTGCCAAGATGGCTGTGACAAAGCTAACTAGCAGCATGAAGATACGCCACTCTTTGCTTGAGAGTGTGACCTGTTTGGCATACAGCTTCAGTGTATCTCAATTTCTGTTGATTTGCCGACTGATTAGGATCGAAGATCTGTGGTGCTGAAATGGGTCTTGATCTGACACCGTCCTGAGAGGAAAAGAGGGTAGTGACGCACATGTGGAACTTGAAGTGTTTTGGTACTTTGCAGATCTTAATGTGGGGTTCTATACAGGGCCGGCGGTGGATATGCACTTTGCGTTGAGGCTTCCAAGGTTCGAATGGATGCGCCAGTGCCATTTGCACGACAAGACAGTCCGTGACACTTTTATAAGCTAGATTCTAGATTGGACTCTACTACTAGACCAGAATTACATAAGGAATATGGTTCCATAGACCAGAATTATATAAGGAATATGGAACCATAATATTGGTAATTATTTCGGCCCCTATATTACCTTCTTTCCTTCTGTTCGTTCCTTCTTTTCGCTCATTCCTTCCTTGTCTTTTCAGATCCAGGTCCTGGTCGTCCTTCGGTTTTTCCGCAACATCAAAAGCATGGAGCCAACCAATTCCTCTGCCCCGGTTGCCAGTGGGTATACCTTTAGCGCCTGCTTCCATTGTGGTTTTAGTTCGTGAAACCTTAAACCCTACAGCCTTAAACCCAAAACCCTAAACCGTCTGCTTCTCTCCACCCTCCTGCTGCTGCCTGAGCTGGTTTCAAACAAGCATGCGAATGACCCAAAACCATTTACAGCAGCCTTTGCAGGGTTTTAGGGTTTAGGGTTTAGGGCTTCGGGGGACCGCTTCACAGCATCAAAGGCATGGGTTCCAGAAGTTGCGCGCTTCTTTGCACAGCAGATCCCGAATCCCAAATCCCGACAACACAAACCTGGAAAGCATGCGTCTGGAGGCCGTCAAGCACGCTGAATCCCATACCCAAACCCTAAACCCTAAACCCCTAAACCCTAAACCCCTAAACCCTAAACCCTAAACGCCCCAAACCCTAAGCCCTACAACCCCATAGCCCACTTCAAAAGCCCCACAAACCAGGTTTAGGGTTTAGGGTTCAGGGTTTAGGCCTAAAACCCTAAACCCTAAACCCACAAACTTCAAAACATCAGGATAGCATCTGAGCACAGCTGAAGTGGCCCAAGGGAAGTGATGGAGGCAGATCCCATCACCCTCGGCAGATGAAATGACCCAAAAGTAGATAGAAAATGGGGGTGTTGGGGTTGAGGGTCATTTTGGGTTTAGGGTTATTTTGGGTGTAGGTTTTAGGGTTTAGGGTTTGGGATAATGGAAAAGAAACTGGAAACTACTATATTATAATAGGGTATATATTGGGGTTTGAAAGTGTTACAACTTCTTGGTTGGGTTTAGGGTTCAGGGTTTAGGGTGTTAGTCTATGGAAGGGAAAGGCAAATTGAAACGCAAATGGACAATGAAAGGGCATGAAGGAATGGAAAAGGAAATGAAAAATACGACATCGTTGGGCATGAAATTTAATGTTGCAGCTCAAAAAGGCTTACTCGGGGTTAGTAGGCAACAAGGGAATATAATCCCTCTATAATATGTCCTCTTTTTCCCTGCCAACCCCCAGACCCCTAAACCCTAAACCCCAAACCTAAACTCCCAGTGCGCTACTGTAGGGATTTACTCCTCTACCCAGAGGGTCCATGTACCCAATAATTAGGTACTTGGGATTTGAGTAATAGTAATTATAGCACAGGTTTTGGGCAAGTATATGATTATTAGGTACTTGGACCCTTAGGGCTATTCCGTACTCACAACCAGTATGCAAGCGCATCAAACGAAAGTAGAACAAACAGATCGGTGCGTCCGTTGGCCACTCTGACACTACGCACAGAAAAGGCTAGCAATATGAACCATAGTCTAAACTCCTTAAAGGGGGTTATATGGGGGACTAAGTAGAGGACTGCTAGAGGGGCTATTGAGGGGGATACTAGGAGTTCAGACTATGGCTCGTATGGAGATTAACTGTCTTGTGATTTTGGATTGTTTTTATTGTTTTCAGCTTGGGGTTCGCGAGCTTGCAGGTTTACGATGCAAGGCAGGCTGCTATGGGAGGGTTACGCACAGCACTGCCATGTAAGATATTTGAAAATTACCGTGTCCCCTCACCCCAATGAGGGACCCACCATGTGATTTGTCGACTTGATCTCGCCGTTCTTGGGCAGACAAACCCCTCCGCCCAAAGAACCCTAAACCCTAAGCCGCCAAGGTGCCAGTTTCCCTAAATTGCCGGACCCCAATATAGACCCCAAAATACTATAATCCTTTCCATAGGGACTCCCAGAATGGTACCCCTAATTTTGGCAAACTTCCGTGTGACCAAGCTTGTGTTGGAAGACTGGGCTTGTCAGTAAGAGCACGCTATTTGCTTTTGGCATAGTCCTAGGGAATATGGATCATAAACCCTAAACCCCAGAACCCGTGCTCAAACTGGGGTTCCCGATGCAGCCCTATGGTTTAAGGTTTAGGGTGTTAGGGTGTTAGGGTTTCGGGTTTTAGGGTTTGCCTATATGAATTTCCCCCGGCCGAAGTCATGGGTTTGGGTGCGGGTGTTTGTGTTTTGGTGGGGCTTATGTTTGCTAGAAAACATGCAGAGACAGACAGAAACACAAACAGACAGAAACAAAGCCAGAGGGAGTCTAGGTATTTACCCGGACCTCAACAGTGGCTAAATATCCTAGGGTCTAGGGTTCAAGATCTTCTGGGCTTAGGGAGCCCAAACCTTAGCCCTTGCCGCCCCCAGCCATAGTAGGCGCAGTATGGCCAGTACTGTGAAGAATTATCGGGTTTAGGGGTTCAGGGTGAACAAATCCACCGTCACGAATCCCTAAACCCAAAGCCCTCAATAACATGCCAGAATCTGTTTCATTGTCCTTGACTTTTTTTTATTAAATATATATATATATATCTCTCTCTCTCTCTCTCTCTCTCTATGCCTGTCACTTCGATGCTCATGGCTTACAACCTCACTCCTGCAAAAGTGGGATCTACAAACCCTAAACCCTTAACTGGTGGTTTCGGAAAATGGGGGTCCCCATAATAAGGGTCATGGGCTCCCTTATTTATGGAGATTGCAAGAAATCCACAAACCGCGAAAATGGGATCTCTGGATCACGCGTTTCTGTCTCGGGCCAGACTTCATGGGGGTGTCGCCAGTTCCGCAGGAGGATGAAAAGCTGGGGGCTAAAGGGGCTGGGGCTTTGGGGCTTTAGGGCTTAGATGGAAAGGGTAGTTACCCATAATAATGGGTTATTTTATAACCCAAAGTAGTAGGAAATTAAGGGACAGTAGGCTGAAATTATGGTCTACTGGTTTTTCAGGTAGGGAACTTAGGGTTCAGGGTTTAGGATTTAAGGAATGTAGGAGCCTTCAGGCTTACCATTGCTATTTTTTCCCTACAACTAGGTACCCCAGTAGTACCCTTTTGACCTTTTTATTTGGGGGGTCTCCTTATTAAAGCTGAATATTAGGAAAAAGGGTACCCTTATTATTATGGGGTTACTGGGGAACCTAGACAATCTGCATGTAATTGTAGTATCGCATACTACAAAGCTTTGCCCTCAAAATCTTTATGTAAGTCTAGCGTGACGTACCCCAAACATGTTTCCTCATGATCCCTCTAAAACCATGGAAGAGTCCATCCACAAACTCAGTTCTCATCGTTTAGGCCTCTACACACCAGCCCCTCAAAGATCATTTTCGAACCCATATGATTTTCCATGTTCATGTCCACTTGATGCCACATTATTTCCAGCGGTCTAAGGATTACCTAGACCCCAAAAGTATGTAAAAGAATAGCCCTGAGCCCCAAATAACAGGCATAAAGGCAATCATTTTACGTACTTTTGGGGTTTAGGTAGGGCTAAACCATAAACGCCAGTATTGGCCGAAGAGATGACTGTCAAATTATCGGCTCTAGTTTGCAGGTGAAAGCCCGGAGTGCTGTGTTTTTTTGTTTTTTGCCGAGTGGTTGGGGTTTAAGGTTTTGGGTATAGGTCGGTTTAGGGTTTAGGGTTCAGGGCTTAGGGTTTGAGAATGTAGTGTTAATATAGGGTATGGGGTGTGGGAAGGAGGGAGTTGTGGCTGAGGCCAGGGCAGCCGACCCAAAAAGCACAACACAACTTCAACCTTGAACTCTGATAATGCTAAACCTGATACCAGGACACTGACGCAGGGTCATTGTTTGTTATACATATATATATATATGTTTGAGTTTCTATGCTAAAGCACAATAGGGCTTGAGGACCTCACACTCTATTCTTTACAGGTCTAGGGTATAGGCTTTAGGCATTAGGGTTTTGGGTTTAGGTTGGAACCCAAAACTCAGGGTGGGCCATTGGACTGAGACGAAGGCTGCAGGTGAGTTCTATTTCAGGAGGAGTTACCCTTCTGATTGCCTACGGGTTTTGGGTTTTGGGGTTTTGGGTTTTGGGGCTTAGGGCCTATCATGAGACGAAGTTAGAGTAGAGAGGTCTCTTATACTGCCCATAGCCTCAGTTGAGAATCATGGCGTCTCTTTGAGGCGCAGGGGGGTTTAAGGGCTCAGGGTCTTGATTTGGGGTGCCAGGCGTTGCAATGACCTCTTCGCATTTTTTAATGGGTACTTACTATAGTTCCCAAAATAGAGTAAGATTTCATTCTCCTCCTTGTCATCATAACACTTTGTCAGGCGAAGATGACCTTGCTTCGTTCACCTACCAAGAGAACCACTCTCTTGATGCATAGGCTACTCCCTATCAACTTCAACCTTTCAGCAATCTCCGACTCTCAAGCCATCCGCGCAAAACTCCTGCAACTGGAGGGTAACCCCTACTGGGAAGGACGGCCCGGAAATTACTGTGCAGGCTGTAGAGGCGGCGATGTCTCAGAAACAAGTCCTAGCCCTAAACCCTAGACGAGACCTGTGTAGTAATTGGTTTGGGAATACTATGGTACCCAATATAGAGTAAGATTACATGCTCCTTTTGGGATAGTAGTTTATGTAAGGAATAGTATCTTACTAGGTTCAACCACCATAAAAGACTTGGGTGATCATACATCCCAAAAAGACCCGTAATAGTCCGCTTTTGACACAGCTTCGCAAAACTGTTGGCATCGATCTTTTGGAAACTTTGCGTGACCTTTGCATTGCTTTGTACCAGAATTCCCACACGCTAAGTCGCAGAGTCGCAAGCATGCTAATCCAACTACATGACCTTTCATATACTACAACAACATAAGTCCTTAAACCCGAAGCCCTTAACGACGTAAACCCTACTATGAGGTACTTGGGGTATTCTTGATTTTAACATTGACTGATCAACACTTGCTTACTTGTGTCTTGCAACTGTTTAGGGTCTAACCGCAGACCCTCAACTAGGTACCCCAGTAGTACCCTCTTTCCCTTTTTATTTTGTCGTCTCCTTATTCAAAAACTGAATAGTAGGAAAAAGGGTACCCTTCTTGTTAAGGGGTTGCTGGGGAGGCTAGTAAACTCAGGGTTTAGGGATCTCACCAGGCCATTACCCTGTTAGATCTGTGAGAAGCTGTGGATGGAAGCATCCTTGCACTACTTTTATGTACCCCTAAATCCTAAACCCTAAGTCCTAAACTCTGAACCCTACGTAAACCCTAAATCCTAAACCCTAAATCCTAAACTCTGAACCCTAAACCCTAAACCCTAAACCATTAACCCTGACCTCCCTCAACCCTGGGAATCAGAATATTCAGGGGGGTCCTGGTGGTGCAAGATTTCCTCCATCCATGTCTCCATTTAGGGTTTAGGGTTCAACAGCTTTTGTTTTGTGAGGGCCCCTTCTTGAACCCCTGCATGAAGTGCATTCAATGAAGTCAACCCCGAACCTAATCCTGCATTCATACATACAGCGAATCTCTAAGCCCTAGCCTTACACTCTAAAACCCGAGACCCTAAACTGAATCCCTATGAACCTTAAACCCTAGACTCTAAACCCCTAAACCCCTAAACCCAAAACGATAACCTTAAACCTCTAAACCCAAAACCCTAGATTATACCCTTTTTTGAGGCATCCTGAAAACGAAGTGAGTTTCACCGCAGGTGTGGTGGTCAAAGCCATAGCTTGCGCATTGTGGCTCATAAGTT